TCTTATCAAGTCTCCTTCTAATCTATAAGAATTGGAATCTTAAAAAAAGAATATTTCTCATTTTCATTCTTTTAGTATTTTTCTCCATATTTAAAGATTAAAATAAATTAAAGAAAGAAAATTAAAAAAGATAATATTGTGTTACATGTGTTTTGATCAATAAATTATAATTTTTGAATCATTTTAATTATCTATATTTGTTATTAAGAGATATTATGTTAAAAATATTAAATCTAAAAATATTTATCATATATTATTTGAAACGTTAATAAATTTTTTACAAAATTACACGCGTTTCTAGGTGGATTGGATGGATGAAAAAACTAGAAGAAGGGCTTTAGAAAAAATAGCCGCCATGACTTTACATATTGCCTATCCAAATGAATTGTTAGACGATAGAAAACTTGAGAATTATTACGAAGGACTTGAATTCAGTGTTGATAATTATTTAGAAAACATTTATAACTTGTCTATCTTTGAAAGAAATTTCTCATTTAGTAGACTGAGACAGCCAGTGAATAAAACAGAATGGATAATTTATGGCGAGTCGGCTGTCAACAGTGCGTTTTCCTTACTGAGCATGAACAGTATTGGTAACTACAATTCCGTAAAGCACATATAAATATTCCAAATAACAAAGAAAATTTAAAAAAATATGTAGTTGTCTATTCAGTCGTATGTCAATTTTGAATTCATTTTTATATGCAAAAAAAATTCTTTCTTCATCTCAAAATTAACTCAAAATTAATGACTAATAACTATAAATTTTATTTTAACTTCTTGTGCTATAAAATCTGGGATATAAATTTATTAGATTATTTTTTTAGATTAGATTATTTTTGCGAATTGAATAATGAGCTATACTTCAAAAATAAAATCCATAAAATTATATCAGTTTCTCATTCTTTTATTTATCTTGTAGAATTGCCTGCGGGTATTTTGCAAGGCGTGTATTTTAACAATGATTGGCCACGTTACATGAACTATGGCGGCATCGGTCTTGTTATTGGCCATGAGATTACCCACGGCATTATTGATCAAGGCAATGAATTTAATAAGGAAGGTAATCTCATGGATTGGTGGGAGCCAGAGACGAAGAAGCGTTTTCTCAAGAAGGCCGAATGTATAATTCATCAATATGGAAATTATACTGTAGAAGAAGTCGGATTGAACGTAAGATTAAATTCTTATACATTTATTTCTATATTTACCAAATTTATTGCTTTGCTATATGAAATTTCTTTTAAAATTTTGGTGCAAGAAAATCTAGATAATTATATTGATAAAATATAAGAAACTGTAGTCATATGAGGCAACTCACAATCAGATTTATTAGCTAGGCCTTTAAAAAGGCATTTGAAAGAAATATTTTTTTACTATATTAATATAGAAACATTTTTTCAAATTGAAATTTTGTCGTATTAATATATGTTATATTGTTACAGTTGAACGGGACAAACAGCCAGCGCGAGAACATCGCAGACAATGGCGGCACAAGGGAAGCCTATTACGCGTACAAAGAATGGATTAAACGAAACAAACTGGAGCAAAGATTACCGGGGTTACCGTACAGTCCAGAACAGATGTTTTGGATAAGCGCGGCTAATTTGTTTTGTTACAAGGCTCGACCGAAAGCGTATTCCCATAGCCCGACCGAATTTCGCATTCGTGGACCACTGTCGAACATGGAGGAGTTTTCGCGCGACTTTAATTGCCCGGTCGGTTCCAGAATGAACCCCATGAAGAAATGTACCGTGTGGTAGATCTCAGATGCCTGTAAAATATGTGTTAGCGATACAGGTTAACACCGTTTTTAATCTTAGAATTAGAAGTTGCAATTCTGCGTTCGTTGTTGAAACAATAAGTTTTATTCTTGACGTCTGGATTAAAGATATTTACGTCCAAATATGCCATTTCTACTTTCTAAAGGCTTTCTAAAATTGCATTTCTCAGATACCAAACTGCTCTATATTTAACAAATTAAAATAGTTATTTATTTTTTAACAATTTCTGAATATTTGTAGAATAGTTATTTTTAAGATTAATGAATGCAGTGAAGACGTCGACATCATACCATAATAGGATATAGAGATAGAGTTTACTTTTTAATATTCTGTCATAGTGACATTGCCGCAACGGAAAATATTTTAACAAAGACATGATACGATTTTATCTATTTCCCCGGCCATATTTAATGCTTAATCAAAATGGATAAGTAAATTTACTGGATGTCTTCCGAATCAAAGTTAATCAAACTTACCGTATACACGAATAACTATATAAATGTGTGTGTGTGTGTGTGTGTGTGCGTGCGTGCGTGTGTATCTTAATATCCATGTTCTATTTAATATACTTACATTAAGATAGATATATGTATATATAATATTTTATTATTATTTTATAAAGTTATGTTATGAAGAAATGAGGAGAATATTAAATAATCGGTATATTTTGCCAAATTGCTTACACAAGTTAAATGTGTATAATTAAATGTTGGTACTTCGAATCTTACGATGTTTGAAA